CAAATACAATTTACAAAATACAACAATACACGGCCAAGGCGAGCACAATTAATTACCTTACATTATATGCCTACAAATAGTATATACATATAAATACGCAACAACAACAATGGTAAAATATACAAAAGCAAAAGAAGAATATGCCTGTATAACGGTACTTTTAGTTAAGAAATATATTTTTTGTTAGTACATTTTATGTGTATTCGTACATAGCAGTATGGAAGTATATAATGTATGTATGCATGTACAGTGGCTAAAAACATGTCCTTAAAAATCATAAATATTATTTTCGGGGATTGATTAAAGCTATCTGGATCCAAGTTGGCTTCTAGGGCAGCTATTACAGCATCCGAAATGTAATTACTACTCTGCGACCACTACATACAGAAAAAGTATTCCTATCCAGGAAAAAACCGAAAGCACTAGGTAGCGCCTTGGCTCAGGGTAAGCGAAAAGGGGGAATAGGAAGCAAGTTCCACCATTCAATGGTTGTTGGAGTTTTAACTGGTCGATCGGAATTGTTGCGGCAAGATTGAACATCAGATCTCACAATTTTAGACATCCTGCCGAAACATCGGAAATAGAAATAAAACACCTAGACAGATTTATGATAGATTCAGGTTGTTTGGCCGATAACCTATAATATTTTTTAGACTGGCTTCACAATGAATAGTATATAACAATCCAAGTATGATGCCCCGCTTTGCTAAGAGATCAGCCACCTTTGCTCGAAGAAAGCGATCTGTTACCTCACCTACAGCTGACGTTTACAGCTGTGAAAACTAAGAGTTAGTGGAATTTTTGTTGTGTATAGCCACATAGCCTAGCTAAAGAAAATATTAGTTAGACTTCTGGAACCCAAAGACAGAAGGGTTCTTTGGTTCGTTGAACTCGAGAACACCTATGTTCTACAATTAGGCAATTCAGTCTACACAAGACCGCTACAAAGACACCGAACTTGTCGACTTCGCCATGACGTAAAATGTGCTGCCTAGAAATCCGAATATTCATAGCGGAATGTGTGTCCCTCCTGATCAGTCAACGCCAAAGCTACAATTAGACGTGTGTGTGCGTTTCGGTGTTTAAATAGCGACATGAAATCAAATTTAGCGTCCAGAGAAAGCTAGACGTCGCAAAACTGGGACACTACAATGCCATCCTGTATTTCTGCTGCTTTGGTAGAGAAGTCAGAGCTCCCATCCCGAAGATGCCTGCAGACAGTGGAGCCCCATTTTCGACTTCATGTGTGCCACTGCTGAAAGCGTACTAGGTTTCAACATCCTTCTATGAATGCAAAGAAGCACTCAGCCTACAAAAGGAATTTCGGAAGTTGGGGGGGGCAAGAGAGACGCGAAAAACGTGAGCACAGAACCGTAAACGAGAAGCGATCGCGGTATGTAAAAGCAGCAATGATACTCAAAAGTTCTACCTGAAGATCAACTTAAGGCTTTAAGTCAAGTGATCTGGTAACATATGCGCAGGACGTACGGAAAATATGAAAGCAAAACTTTTTTAACTTAATTTTTGACGAAAACTATCGCCTGTGGAGAGGTAAGCCCAGAGCTAAAATCAAAAAAGTTGGTATGATCTACCAACCTCTAGTCATGATGAAGTCCGCAACATTACACCCACTTAAGAAGAAGTGAACGGCAAATGCAAACGTTCTCTCTGACGGCGGAGAGTGTCCGATAGGAAACATATACAAAATATGGCTAAACGAAATTATGCCTAATGAATAGAACTTCATTACATTATATGCTGTCTAAAAGGAAGATGCTATCATTATTATCCATGCAAACCACCGAGGGATCGAATCCTGTGAGCATATTGCGTAAAAGACTGAGACCACTTGCCAACAACGTGCGGCTTTGGACTAGGTAGTTCCACTGTTCCATATTAAGACCCGAGAATATGAACTCGGCACCTGCCATCTCTTCATCGATTACAAGATAGCTTTTTAATCGATAAGGGCGTCGGTATACCGCTTTTTCTGAGCCTGTTATACCTGCAAAACTAATACGTCTTTAAAGTAGGACTTTGAGCAACAACCGCATGGCAACAAGGCAGGAATGGACCTTCCAAACCTACTCATATTTACTCTCAGTTAGGTTTCAGACAAATTGACTGCGCACCTTGTGATCTCTATGAAGGTTATGTTAGCTTATTCCACCTGTCCCGCGATACATAAACCTTCTGGTCTTTCTTAATGTCAAATGGAGGTTCAGTTTAATTCGATTTGAAGAATTCGTCATACAGAACTGTAACGCTTTTTGCGAATTTTCAGATCGTCTTGATATCCACTTTTGATACTTTAACTCACTTTCTGCATGTATTGTCGTTAGTTATGCCCACCCGGCTCTAATGTGATCCCAGTACGGCAGGCTTGCCATGAAGCCAACAACCGTCTTGCAGTCCTTTCGAGCCGTGCGAGTAAACCTATGCATGTTTTTTCGGGCACGATCTTGCATTCCTTTCTGGCCTGATGCCTTTGTCAACCAAATATCTAGGGAAAATCGTATTCAAATAAAACGAACAATAACGATAGTGTAGTTCGACAAAATATCAGAAACTAGATGTTTGAGAGTACAGAAAAGACATTTATAAATCACGCAACAATTAAAATGAGCTCTAGCTAATAAATAAACTCTAATTGTGAAGATTTTAAAAAATATTTAATAACGATAAACTGTCTAAAACATATATAAGGAAGCGAAATATAACTCTTAAAAGATTACTAGCCACTGTACATATATGTATATTATATGTGTGTACAAGGTTAATACGATGACTTTATTCTTAGCGTTTTCCGCAAAAAATTAAAAGATAAAAATTCACAGCTAAACACACAACACGTGTACAAATATCAATACATATGTATGTTGTATGTAAGAGTATGTGTAAAAATCGGGTTAAACCATCTAAATAAAATTCGTCAGAATAGAAACATAAGCGGCTGCACCAAACGTGCGGCGTGTTTAAGTATACATATGTGAGTATGTTGGTTATGTATGTAATATATGAACAGAAATGTGTAACTATATATAGATTGTATAACATGTAAGTAAAGAAGTCTTTTATAACCATGATATGGTGTCAGTTATCTCAGTTACTTTTTCTATAAGCGCTTCCCTTTCAGTTTTTGATCTTAAATGGAAAGCTCTAGTTTAAAGAAATGCTTTATTTATAATTAAAACCGTGTTTTAATCTTTTCAGATTCCCGCATCTTTTTTTTATCGTTTTTCCCGCATATTTTATATAAATTTTTTTTTCTTTAACAATACAATTTTTATCTCCTAAGCAAGTACATATACTACTTTGGAGGACTGATATTCTATTGCAAAATCTTCCGCTCTACTAAAAAAGGTTGTGATGATTTTTTTTCATAAAGTTAGTCCTTTAAAAGTTCTACGCTGTTAAAACTATGCATTCAAAATACAATTGAATAGTACACCATGTCGTATGAGCAACACTAAAAGTATACCACAAATCACTAGTATAAATGCTCATGTCATTTGATATATAATATAACGTTATCTCCATATAGCATTATGAAGAAAAATTAAAACCTTTTTGTTGAGCGGAGAGCTTTGTATAAGAATATCACTTTCTCAAAGTTGTAATTTTACTTGCTGAATGCAATATATAAAAAAAATACTTATTATATGCAAAAATTATGGGCATGGTTTAAATTTAAAACAAAAACATTGTTTAATTCGGCAGCGATAATCCCCTTCACAAGTATATTTTTTATAAAATAAAAATTTATATAAGTGTATAAAAAGATCATCTTTATCTTGCTTTCGATGGGTCAGTTTGTAGGGCAGATATATGCTATAGTGGTCCGATCTGAGAAATTTCTTCGGAACTTATGACTCTGGCTTATGAAATAACCCACGCCAAATTTTATGAAGATAGCTCTTCAAATAAAAAAGTTTTCCATACAAGGATTACATACGCATTATCCAATTTGTATGGGGGCTATATGCTATAATGCGTCGATCTGAAAAATTTGTCAGAAAATTGTGAGTCTTTCTTACGCATTAACGCATGCCAAATTATGTGAAGATAGCTTATCAAATAAAAAAGTTTTCCATACAAGGATTACCTACTGATTATACACTTTGTATGGGAGCTATACGTTAATTCAAAGGAGCAGTGGCTGCTTGAAAAAGTTATCTTTGCTAAATTTCATGAAGATATCTTATCAAATAAAAAAGTTTTCCATACAAGCACTTTTTTTGATTGATAAGTTTAAATGGCAGCTATATGCTATAGTAGTTCGATCTGTACAATTTCATCGGAGATTATATAGTTTTCTTGGAAAATAAACTGTGCCAAATTTCGTGATAAAATCATTTCAAATAAAAAAGTTTTCGATATAAGAACTTTTTTGATCGATCAGTTTATAAGGCGCAAAACTCAACTTGGTGTAAAAACGGACACCCTAATATAAAAAAAATATTTCTATGTAATATATAAACCGAAATATAATTATATAAATAAATATGTGTACATATGTTGATACTTATAGTATGTACATATGTGAGGGCAAGGAAGTGATTTTATGTGAGTATTTATATTTATATAAGCATATATATGTATATGTTTGTATATATTTATACACTATTATGTATGCGTATAACCTGGAATGTATGCAAATATGTGTGCGCTTTTGTGTTTTTACAAGATTATCTGCCTTAAACACACACACATAAACACCGTTACACTAAGCGACACACAGGAAAATGGAAAATCTTAAACTGCCGGCTCGCTAATGTCGCGCTCGTGTCGTGTCGCGGCAGCTTAACAGCTAACAAATTGGCATGACATAAAGCCCTCTGATTAACTGCATAAACCGAATAAACTGCATAGGTAAACACATACACACACCGACACAACACACAAAGAGGCGTATGTGTGAACGTCGTTGGGTTGGCCCGAAGGCAAATACGAAATTGATACCAAAAAAAAAAAAAAAATATTATTTTAATTAAATTTACCGATTTTGGCACCGCCGAAAGGATCCTTGAACATCGTCGTCGCTGTTGCCGGCGTCGCCGTCGCAACGCCATGATGCAGGCCGGTGGCGCTCAACAAATGCCCGGCGTGTCCGCCATGGTGGCCATGTGGCAGTGAAGTTGTCTGTTTAATGGCGTTCGCACGGCCACGTGTCGGTGGTCCTTGTTCACGTTTGCGACGCGGCTGCTCGACGGGTAGCACACGCCGGCGTTTCTTTGGCAGTTTCGAACGTGCCTGGAAAGTAAAAGCGTGTGAAAGAAAGGGAGAGAGTGAGTAAGTAAGTGAGCGCAAAAGAAAAATAAAAAGTTGTGAATTATAAGTATTTTTTATGTATGTATGTGTGCAGCCAAAGGCATAATCAATGAAAGGGTAATATTCGCATAAATAGCCCTTTATATGCGCTGTCTGCTAAAGTATAAGCGTGCTTAAAAGCTGTGTGTTGGTAATTGAAGCGAAAATTTATATTCTGTGCTTGCATATTTTCATATTCTGTGTGAACTTATTAATTTCGAAGAAATTGTAAATTGAATTTAGCGAGCAGAAGTGGGTATATTATTTTAGATTTGGCAGGGTTGACGAAAGACTTTTGATTCGAGTAACGTAACTTGAACTTATGGCCTTGAATGTTAATAATTTTTTTTTATGGCTGGTGATGGTTTGAAGTGTATACCGTGAATGTGGTTATCAATAATTATAACACAGCTGTATTTAAGGAGTAACCAAAATTTTTATTGATCGGTTTGTATGGCGGCTATATACTAATATATAATGGTCTGATGTTACCAATTATTTATGAGGTTATAGAGCAGTCTTGGATAATAACCTATGCCAAGTTTCGTGAAGATATCTCATGAAAATAAAAAGTCTTCCACAGAAGAACTTGATTTTGATTGATCAGTTTGTATGGCAGCTATATGCTATACTTATCCGATTTGAAATATTTCACCGTAAGTAGAAGCCCTTCTATATATATAAACCCACGCAAATCTTCGTAAAGATATATTGACAAATAAAGAAGTTTTCATACAAAAGATTGATTCCGATCGTTCAGTTTGTATGGCAGCTATATGCTATAGTTAACCGATTTGAACAATTTCTTCGGAGATTACATGTTTGCTTTAGAAAATAACCTGTGCCGACTTTTGTGGAAATACATTGTGAAATGTGTAAGTTTTCCATACAAGAACTTGATTCCGATCGTTCAGTTTGTATGGCAGCTATATGCTATAATGATCCGATACCGACGATTCCGACAAATGAGCAGCTCCTTCGAGAAAGAAGAACGTTTGACAAATTTCCGATTGATATCTCAAAAACTAAGAGACTACTTCATTCATATCCAGAAATACAGAGGGATAGACGAATATTCCATAGGATGTGTACAAACTACGTGGCAAAATTATTGTAGCCTGTTCAAGTTATAAAGAGAACTAAGATTTTCTGGTTATATTTGGATGGCGTAAGTGCTGCTCAGATTACGAGTTCGAACTCAATATATTCGCAGTCAATTCGTTCTATTTACCTATCCTATTAAAGGACAGCAATGACCACACAATTTATATCGCGGAAATTTTGTTTCCCCGCAAAACTAATGCGGCTGTGTAAACTGACGTTGAGCAACACCAAAAGCTCCTCAGGAAGGCCCTGTCCGAACCGTCCGATAGCGAACGAGACAAGGCGACTTGCTCAATATACTGATGAAGAAAAGAATATAATGTACAGCTGCTGGTGTACGCCAATGCTATTGATATCATTGGTCTCAACAACCACGGTCTTAGTTCTGCTTTCTTCTTACAGAAAGCGATGACAGCCATGCGAGGATAAATAGACAATATGGGGACCTGGATTTCCTGATCACGTGTTTTTCCATTGTCCATAGGGGAAAAGTTATAAACAGCACTAGGTGGTAGTTTAAGGGTGAAAGGTTTGACTGTACTTATGTGCTACCATAAAAAAGTCGGCCTTAGGAGTATTTGAGAGAAAGGTTCTGCAAAGTGAGATCATATTGACGAATACCAGCCTTATTAGCTAATCTAAACTATCTAAAACCAGTATGGTCGCTGGCTACGAGAATTGGCCATTTTCATTGTGATTTAGTAAACCCTGTTAGTGTGGTGGATATCTTTTTGGACTTCGCTATATATGTTCTATTACGTCTAAAATCATCCTTTCGCTGAAAAATCTTTAAGAAACTCTCAGCATGAATTTAAGTATTCTAATATATGCAATCAACTTTATGCTATAAAATCCAAGCAACTTACCTGCGTGTGCGAGTAAAACATGGAAAAGTTGCTAACGATGACGGGTACCGGCAGTGCTATCGTCAATACGCCAGCAAGCGCACAAAGCGCGCCTACAAACATGCCCGGATACGTTTTCGGTGCCACATCGCCATAACCGACAGTGGTCATAGTGACTATGGCCCACCAGAGACCAAGTGGTATGCTCTTGAACTGATTTTCAGGGTTGTCCTAAAATGAGAAGAAAGAAAGAAAAAAAGACAACATAAAGATTAAGAAAAATATCTAATGAGAATTAAATAGAGCAAATATAAATTAAGACTTCTTTACCTGCAACTTCTCCGCATAGTAAGCCAAACTGGCGAAGAACACTATACCAAGCACTAAGAAGAATACCAGCAACGTCAGCTCTTTCGCTGAGGCCTTGAATGTATGTATAAGTATGCGAAGACCAGGCGAATGTCGCGTCAACTTGAAGAGACGCATAATGCGTACTATCGAGAAAGCCTCCAGCAGCCCAGTGTATTCGCCCATACGTTGCATGACGTCCGTGTAAAAGCTAAGCGTGGCGGTGAAGTCAATTATATTGACCGGCGATTTGATGAACTGCCAAATATTCGGCGAAACCTGCGTTAAAATATTGAATTTTGTTGGTGAAAGTTTAGGTTTAGCAAAAGCGGCACACTCACAATTAGCCTGATGAGCACCTCGATAAAGAACCACACGTTGCACACCAACTCCACGTAGAAGAAAGCCTCGTGCGGCTGTCCGTACGACTCATGCCAACCATGACCGTGATGATCGACACCGCCGAGCAATTTCTGTTGTATCAAATCCTTCACGTTGCGTATGGAACGTTTCAGGCGATTGCGATTGGATAGACCGCCACCGCCGGTGCCTTTCAGCGTGAATGTGGCAATGAACTGACTGGTGTTGGCATTACCCGGCGCTGTATAATTTGTGACTTTAAAGGTGTGCGCCAGCGTATAGTTGATACCGCTGGCACTTGTTACGTTCACACCGTAGTTGTTCGCGTGCACCGGCGGTGCCATATTGCCCACAGCGCCGCTACGTGTACCCGGTGCCGCTGTCACTGTGGTGGCTATGTGTGCGCTCGGCGGCACCGGTGGCATATTATGCTGATGAGGTATACTAGGTATGTGCACGGATGGCGTGTGCGGTACAGCCGACGGACTTGGTCCATGTTCGGTGTGAGTGGCGGGAAAGTCCACACGAAAACCCGGATGAGTCTTCAGGCAGAACGATATCACAGAAACGAATATAAAGAAAACCGACATACTAGCTACGATCTGTGAGCGAAAATAATTGGAAGTTTTACAAAGACTGAAAAATAATATTAATATGACAAGCTCGTACTTTAGCACCCGTCGAACTGGAGGGTTCATCAAAGAGCGCCCACACCTTCGGCTTAATACGTTGCCAACAGCTAAGTCGTCCATTGATCAGTGCTTCTTCGAAACCGAATAGACGTGCAATTTGTTCTTCAGAGGGTTTTTCATTTTCAATATCTAATTTATCTAAAATGGCTAAAGTATTCTAAAAGAGAAAAATGGAGTCCAACTAAAACTACTTTTTTGGGCTTTTAATTCGCTGTGGTTATGTTTTTACCTGTGTGTCACGGTGTATGCTGTAGGTGGACCAACAGCATGGTTCTACTTGGTTCGAATCGAGTCCCCAAAATTCTAGTTCCTCTTCGAATAGTGGTCCACAGACATCTGTGGGATAGTGTAGTTTACCGGTTCTGAAAGTAAAGTGAGGTTAAAATACTAATAAGATAAGGGAACTGGAATTTAATAAAAAAAAAGCAGGTAAAAAAATGGAGATGACTTTGTGTAAATTCCGAAGGTCAGGAAATGTAGTTTTCTATAAGACCGATGGATTTTAAGAGAGGTGAGTTAGGAAAGCCTTATTGTATTTTAAAAGCTCTCAGGGTTTTGCAGAACGACCCAAAGAGCTTTAAACAATCACGTGGAAGTATCTTAGAACCAATACTCACACCCTTGGCGGGATCATTAACCTCAATAGCGAATACAACAGATCGGTCATGTATAGTTTTCTTTCGCCGAACTCTGACAGTGTAGTCGCGATAGAAATTCGAGCTACATATAGCTTGTTCTCCAAAGCAACCAGAAAACTTTCGGTACAAAGGATTTAGGAATTATATGTCGTGTAGAAGTTGTAAAGACTAAAAAAGTCCTTTGGAATTAATAAATCTCCTTCCCTGCGAAATAGTAAGAAGTAAGATATTTGCTCGGATCTCACTAACATATTGATTTCAATTGGGATTATAAGGACTCAGGACTGATTAGCTGTCAATCTAAGACCAAGAGTTAGACCTCACTCAATTCTTGTATATTCCGAACTTTAAAAGATCAATTACTTAAAAGCAAGAATACCTTACGTCTTCGGACATTAAAGCCAGCGAAAATTAGCGAAATTTCAACTATTAAAAAATTTAAAAACGATATCTAACCCAAAAATTAAGTCAACGCACGAAAATCGGCTCAATTTAATTTACTATGCGCCAAGGACACGTGATAAACCGGTAGTAAAAGACAGACGTTTGGTAGAGAATCGAACAAAAATGTTTTAAAACTTCATTAAATGTGTATGACAATTACCAAATTCGCTCTAAAGTGTTTTTGTTCAAGTAGTTCGTGTTGGGACAGCTTGGTAACTAGTTATAAACTGGGTAATTTTTAACTAGTTGTTTAAAGAGACTACGTAAAGTCAGAATACACAGAAAGTAGTTCGTTTTGCACCGGTTTTGTAACTAGTTACGAACTGAATAGTTTATACCCAGTTGTGAAAGAAACTGACTTAAGTCAGAATACATAAATTAACAAGAAAAACTTAATGTAGACTTTCGAAATAATTTCGGTCCAGTTCGTAACTAGTCCAAAATTAATTCAATTGTTACCAATTGCTAAATGGTAGATTCCATCATTTTACTACACACATATCTAAAAAACATTGAACGGATGTTTGTATCATCAACGCAGTCACGCACATGTGAGTATATAAATGTGTGCGTGGCCGTAATGCCAAACAGCGGATATAAATAAAATTAGTAATTCCCGTCGTGTACCCGACAGGCATGATAAAGACATTGATGCACAGCAGGTGGTTGCGGCTTTGCCATCTAATTTACCGAACAAAGCTTTTTTAAGCAACAAAAACAAAAAATCGTAAAGGAAGATGTGTGTGGATAAACACATACTATATGTATAAAAGTGAGTGAATTAAGATGAGAATAGGAGGGGGAGTTAAGAAGGAAAGAGAGCGCAGCAGCGTTTTAAGAAAACGCTTAAAAGCGGTAATGCGCTTTACTAAAGCGTGATGAAATTAAATTATTATTACCATAAACGAAATTTCCTTCCCTGCAAACGGGAAGTTAGAGACCAAAGAAAGATGGAGAGGTGGGAAAAATCAAGGAAAGATAATATAGAAATAAGTGAAGCATGCATATTATATATACACATATATGCTTCCAGCTATACGTGTATTTATAGATTACAAAAACAAACTGATAATGTGGGAAGAATGAATTATGTAAAGTCAGCAGTTGAAGGACGTGTGGAGCTAAGGGCATAAGTGCATGGAAAATTTTGTTTCTGATTATTTGAAGGGCGAATACAATTACACTACCGTGAGAGTGTCAATCCGTTTACGTGTGAAATCAGTCGATTCCAGAAAGACAGGAGTTTTTTTAGGCATTGAGATCTAGAACTGTTTAGCTACAAAACAAAAATTTCGACAGCTCAAATTTCAATGTTTTTTGGCGAGCTTATTAAAAAAAAAACATGTATGCTTAAATTTACACATTCATCCCTAACTACTAGTAAATTATCTATCGAAATTTACTTTAAGGGGGAAGTTAACTTGCACCCCCCGACACCAATCAAACACTCAGCTTAACCTTTTGAGGCGTTAATACAGGCTTTGCGACCATTTGTTGAGCTTCACAACGTTTGGATCATGATTTATCGCACATTATTTTCGTATTTGATCCACTTGTCTTCTCATGTTACAATTGGCTTTAGAAATGGTTCGATTTCAATTCGGTTCAGTAAAGACTTGCAGAATTAATTTCGGTCTATTAAATTTTTCAAGGACAATCCATGTGGTACCCAAACATCGAGCTTCTTTTTGTAGCCAGCCTTTTTTAAATGGTTCAAAACCATTTGATGATGAATGTTAAGTTCCTTAGCGATGTAATGGCTGCTTATGTGGCAGTTCTGGTCAATACTTTCCATAATTTCATCGACTTTTTCAGCGATATGTTTTTGACCCACAGACTTAATACAAGTTGTGTTCCAAATTAAACAGAACTTTGTGAATCTAGCGCCCCGTGGTGGCGCCATCTATATGTCGATTGGTGCGTTAGAATTTGCTATCTTTTTCGATTGTCCAGTGAGAATTTCACGACATTTCATGACTTGGAAGTGAAGTTATTGCCTTTTAAGTGTCAGTATGTTTATGTAATCGGGCTTCGAACGAAGAGCAAACATTAAATTTTGTTTTAAAATTAGTAAAACATTTACCGAAACGTTTTAATTGATGAAAAAAGTTTATGGCAGAGTAGCAGAGTGCACGAGTGGTTTCAACGTTTTCAAAGTGGTCGTGAGGACAAAAATGACCATCAACATGTGAGCCAATCGAAATTCGCGATCACCGGAAATTCCATCGAAACTGTACGTGAATTTATCAAAAATCAGCCGAAATCATCATTTAAATTCATGGAAATGGAATTGAACATCTTCAAAACATCGATTTATCGCATTTTTACCGAACATTTGAGTTTACGAACGGTTTGTTCCGCACAAATTGACTGACGACTAAAAATTGTTCAGAATCCAACATTCGAAGCACGATTACTTGACCAAAAATCACATTTTAACCATGAACCACTCCCGGTATTCACTTGATATGGTACCGAAAAAATGCATTTTCCCATGAAAGGAAAGCGTCATGCAGACGTAAAAGCCATTCAAAGGCTTGCAATGGCATACCGGACAAAGAGCTAAAAATCTCGTTCGACATGCTATTCGCCGCATAGAAAGCTGAATTGAAGCAGAAAGAGACTATTTAGAATAAAATAAATTGATTTTGGCAAAAAAACCGTTTGTTCGGTTTTTTTTTTAAACCTATTTACTTTGGAACTCACCTTGTAATCTATCTTTATCAAATTGTCTTCAGTCACTATCGCATAGATGAAGGTCTACAAAATATCATTTTTTCCACAGCAAGAAACAAATTTCGTTGTGTAAGAATTTTTAATCGCCTCTGTATATTAATAGATGTAATATATTTATACATCTCCGCAATGTCCAAAAATAGAAATATTAATTACAAGTCTTGGGATTTCACAAAATTGCCCGAGGTTACTAAAAAATGTATATCTATTTAATGACTATCTATATTGTGAAAAATATTTAAGCACTCCGCAGTGACACATACATACACTTTAAGTAAGTGAATCCCAATAGCCGAAATAGAAATTTTGATACAAGGGATATATGATTTGTCACTGTGTTTTCAATGCGGATATACCGCGTGTTTGCCTTAAACATAAAGATTTTCCTATTATACTTATCACAGATTTTTATTAAAGGTAATTGAATAAGATTGCCCTTCTATATGATAAATTAGTACTACTGCGACATGATTCTGCGAGTACCATTTCATCCAAGTTGTAGGATATTCAGGTTAAAAAATTAGTTGCTCACTCCGAAAACGATTTATCAAATAATTATTTATATTATATAATTAAACTACAGAACTTTTGATTTGGCTAATGTTTTGAAGATCTTAAATGAGTTCGAAAATAGTTTTATGACACTCTATAACTATTTGTCTACTTCAAATAGTATACCCTAAAGTTAGATCGCAAATTAAAAGAGCCACTATAAGGATACATAACTCAAAACAAAAAAATACGTCCACAATATATCAGAGATCATGGAACATCGAATAAGGTGTGTTGCTTTTTGAAAAGAGACAGTAAGAGTGTTGGGTCTATGCAATAAGATGATTATAAGGATGATATGAAATGATATGCATAACGTCATAAATTTAATTGACCTTGAAAATTGTGAAAACATCAACCACGGTTTTTACATCGACATGTCAGACAAACTTGGTATTTCCATGATAATAGAGTCAAATTTTCCTGAAAGGAGCACAATTTCTATGCGATAAGGGATTGATAACTCAAGATCACACTTCTAAAAATATTTCGGAAAAGTTCTAAATCATGATTTTATTACTTTGTATATGTAATCTATTTTTCTAAGAAAAAATCCGATATGAACGGGAAGAAAATGCTTTGAAGTGAAAATATGCTAAGCAGAAGATTTAAAATATAACGTAATTCCCGATCTAATCCATAGCGTTTAGCAAGAAATATATATTATATATTGCCAAATTAGGGCTGAGCCTGGTAGCATGATATATCGAACAAGAATTACTAGATTATTGGCTTGATAACCCCAAAACTTTGGTTTAAAAATCTTAATATTACAAATATTATTTATCTAAAAGTTATTTAGAATATGTCAAAAAATTCGAAAAAGCAATGATTATTACATAATTATTAATGAGCCTTTGTTACAATACTGATTAAATATGTCCTATCTATTAAAAAGTAAAAAATTTAAAGTTATATTTTTAGGATAAGTTGCTTCCTAACTCTTACTTCTTATTTTTCAAAGTAGATATTTATTGAACCACCCTCGTTGTATGGTATAAAAGTTTTTGGTGCCATTAAAGTGCCGCCTGTCCAACTAATAGATTAATCACAGCTTCACTTATTGCTGACAGCAGAACAATCAACATACTGATATTAATGCACATATGTATGTATATGTATATATAATATAAACAAACTAGAAGTAGCAGACGTCGGAGTCTTCAGCTGTCAATCAACTAATGAACAAAACGTTACGGTCATAAATTAAATAGACTTGAGCAAAAACCTAAAATTAACCGTAATTTACAAAATTACTTGAAATATATAAACAAAAACAACCAAAACCAAAAGGTTGACAAGTCAATAGAGTTCGATATACACTCATAGCCGGATTTCAACCACAAATTTTGGGATTTTGCAAGAATACAAAGAATGGTTTGTGGAGCACTAATAAGATTGAATACACTTCTAAATATATAGATCGATATATAGATATATAGGTAAAAAAATATATATAGTATATTTATATAAATTAGGGTGAAMAAAAAAAAAAAAACAAATAACACTTCGAATTCACGGGTTAAAATTAATCAGTCAGGGAGAAAGGCTCGAGTAGTTTTCATACCGAAGGCTGGTAGAAAAAACCCAACCTATTCAAAAGAGCTTACATAGGCATATCCGCCTAACTTCCTTCCTGTAGAGGAAATCTTGGTAGCTTGTCCAAGGCGCAGCACGCATATACGCCAGGCAGATCAGTAGATATTGCTCTCCATATACTGGTATTTAATATCCAAAATGCTTTTGAATAGAAAGAGTACGCTCTTGGAGCATTCCTGGACATTTTTGGAGCCTTCAACGTCTCTACGGAATCTATTCTGAATATTAACCAATCAATAGGTGTTGATCCTGTCATACAATCCTGGATCAGAAGCCTTTTGACCTTTAGTCGTATGAAGTTGATATGAGATGAATGGAGCGACGCTAAAATAAACAAGGAAGTCTGCAAGGTGGAGTGTTATCTTCGATGCTATGGCCATTAGTGGTGAATAAACTGCTAAAGAACTTGGAAGACAAAGAATCTAAGCTGGTTCGATGTCTACAGCCCATTAACAGTATTATGAATACCTCTCTCAATGCAGTCCCAGCATTCGCAATTTCGCGAAATTTTGTTTGTACACAAAATGGACGAGATTGCCAAGAATGATGTACAGCTAATACCCGAAAACGTGATTAAGATTGAGAAACCCATGCATTGTCTATACGACGATCTCGACTGAAGCATGCTAAAGAAAATCAAAACCCAATTGTGCGAGCTATCTGGGAGCAAAACTGCAAAAATCATATGCAGAACGGTGGATCGGAAGTATGCAAAATTCCTGTTGGCTCTGGATATGACCAATGCGACGAGCTGAGTTCACTTAGCCATTTCCATCCTTCTGTAGATAAACGAAATAGTCGCTCAGTTTTGGAACTAAAAGATGCTACTTTGTCGGCAGCAGCGATATCGGATCACTATAGCCTATAGCTGCCAAATGTATAAACTAACTTATCAAAATCAAGTCCTTGAATGGAAAACTTGTTTATTTGACAATATATCTACCAAATATTAGGGACAGTTTAGTATCCAATGCAACATTACAATCTCCGATGAAATCGTTCAAATTGGATTACTATAACATATGGCTATCATACAAACTTAACGATCGGAATCAAGCCATTATAGGGAAAACCTTTTCATTTAACGAGATATTTTCACCAAACTTGCCATGGCTTATTATGTAAGACAACTGTGTAATGTGCGAATAAATGATAAGGATCGAACTACTATAGCATATAGCTGTCATATAATTTGACCGATCAAAGTAAAGTTATCGTATTAAACCTTTTTTACTTATGAAGGATGTTATAGAATCAGACCAACCGAAGTTAATTTTTGTAATTTTTTCTCTGTACTCATTTTATTTTAATTAATAAAGTCATTAGGTAATTTTTGGCTCACCCTAATATATATGTATGAAGAAAAAATATATTATCTGCACAACACTCACCTGTAGTAGTTGAGTATTTGCGTGAATACACCCGGATGGCGATCAAAGAAATATTCATTCAGCACCGGATCATAATTGGCCAGCGCCTCCGTGAGACGGGAAAGGCGTGTGGCGGGTATTTTCTTCAATGTCGCCTTATAAGTTTCATATCTGTAACAAAGAAAAGAAATTTAAAAAAATTAAATAAAATATAAAATTAAAAGTCGGAGACGAGAGACAAAAAGAGAAGAAGAAGTGAAATATGTTATATATATGCAAACATGGATGCATATATATATATATATATAGGTAAGTACATAAGTATATGCATATGTATGTAGGTAAGTCAGTCCTATATGAGTCTGTCATTACACTAGTAATATCCATAAGAAATACTTGTAGTGTATGCTTTTGAATAATTAATTTCAAGTGGCACTTGAAATGACATTATAAGGCAAAAATATACAAATTCAACGCACACACTCATACATACATACTACTAGAAATATAAGGCGCACATTTGTGGTCTGCAACGTCACAGTGTCAGCGGTGGCTGGCAGTAAGGACGTTTTATTTTGGTTTTGCCCTTTAAAAAAGCCTTGACACATAATTTCATTAAAAGCCAAGTGTTTGACTATCACAAAACACACATACATACACATAAATAAACTTACACACATACTCACATGCATATGCAGACTTCAGTAAACGATATGTCGGGACACTTAGCAGCGGTGTCCTTGTGGCATATGGCGCTAATGCATTTAGAGCATGAACAAGTATGTATACGCAATAAGGTATATCAGTATGCATATATTTATATGTAAATATAGTTATATGTACCAAATGTAAGTATGCACATTTGTATATCTTCGAAAGCTGATGAAAGTTTCATTTTCTACGAAATCAATGTATGCACATACACACACCAGTCAACAACTTTATTTAAGCAATTTATTTCCCGAAAACAGCAGCTCAACTGGTTTTCGATAGTGTATGTAAATATGTATGCTTATATTGGATTCAAGCTTATAGTATCTTTTTAATCTTAAAGGTCAGTGGCTATTAGCTGTATCTATCAGAAATGACAAACAACGATGCGTCAAGATATGGTCAGTGAATTCGGAAAGTTTGAAAATTTGAATTTTCAGGAATATTCAAAATCATAAGTAAATAAATGTAATACTATGAGCAAAACTTAGTAAGACTATATCTATGATTTATAAATTCTGAATTTATTCTTCAAAATCTATGTCGTCAACATCAAAGGGACACTTATGCCCCAATGTTTTTTCCAATCCTCGTAACAGTTGTTGAAGTCAATTGCCGGAAAAGCCTTCAATAGCTTCAAATTGGGCCAAAAACTCACAAAGACTCAAGGCGGTATGCGATGGTGCATTATCGTGATGTAAAAATCAAGAGTTTTCGCTCATAATTTCGGTGCCGTTTTAGCAACCGCTCACGCAAATGACGCATAATACTCAAATAGTAATCCTTATTGACAGTCGGAATCCATTTGGAGTGCAGTACACCTCGATGAATGAAGAAAACTGTCAACATAACCATCATTTTTGACCTGAATTGACATGGTTGTTTTTGGTTTTGTCTGTTTCCGGTAGGATAAGCAGAGAGGTAAGACTAATTGTCAGCAATAATTTTCATTTCATGACATCTTTATGGTCGGAAAGCATGATCTCACAGACATTCACGCAAAAAATTTCGAAAACAATTGACTGATTTAAAAAAAAAAACAAAAAAAAAGTCTTTCAAATGGTTTTCACTCATGTTTTCGATATTCCGGCGTTGCCAGTATGATCTTTCACTGTTCATCGTCGATTCTCAAGAACAAGTTCCTTTATTTTATTGACTTGTTGATCATATCAGTTGATAGCCGTCCTGCAATTGATATTACTTACATACATATGTATTTAATAGTTTGTCTATTAGTGGTCCTTAATACATTGTATCCATCACTATCCAAAATAAATAGTCTGGCGTTGACGTCTATCCCGGCACCATGGCGGACTGCGAAGATTGACTTCATACACAAAGTAGGAAGGAAAGCATATTCCCTGGTAAAGTCCTCTGAAACTCTGAATGGAGTGATTTCAACCTCAACCTATTGCTAAGAGATAGCACAAACAAGTGATACACTGACGGCTCGAAAATGCCGGAGGGAATTGGTGCAAGAGACGCAGGAGTACTTATCCAACTCTCCATGCCTACGGGAAGTTTTTCGAGCATTTTACAAGCAGAAGTCTTTGCTATAAGTCGATGTGTAGAGACAAACCTCCAACGCAACTCTTACAACGAAAGTATGGCTATCCTCAGCGATAGCTAATCAGCACTTAAAGCGATCTCTGCTTAGGAGACTAAATCGCAACTGCTGCAGGAGTTAGTCAGCTCTGCATCTTCCACCTGCATGTAGAACTAGGGTAAAGGCACTTGGATCCACGTATCTATGCAGTGATCACCTTGTCTCAATGAAACCTATAAGTATATTGGCTTATATTCATCAATGAGCTGGGGCTATGTGAGTCGCTATGACAGAGGTAAGTATACAACAGACCTTACACAAACTGATCAATCAAAATTGAGGTCTTGCTCGATATTTCTTGAATTTTCCTTTAAGCCTGAATCCATAATAGAGCTAATTTGACCGCCTCAACTTTGTGATAAAGGTGATAAAGATCCGGTGAAGCCAAAGTGTTCCCCACATTATATATATATACTAGAGCCAGATTATCTCATATTTCTAAAATCTTTATCTAAAGACTAAAGTATAAGACATAAATTATCTCCATAAATATTTATTTAAACATAACTTAGTATTACAATACTATTTCACTTTAATTCTTTTCTGTCCTACACATAAGCCAAAATATTGCAGAATATTTTTTTCCAAAATCACTGACTGCGTAAGTTTACTTTTTTTCGGCAAGAGAGATAAACGGTTCCAACCAAACACAAATAAATCTTTCAATATTCTGACCTCTACGCTGCCGCCCACTTAACCCGCTTAAGTGGCAACGCATTTTTTTTTCCACATTGCAGCTTACATTGACAAAAAGCTGCTGCTGCTGATACTGTCAAGTGCATCACCAATGCAATGTCACATAGGGTATGCACATAGAAGATTTATAAGGTATATATATTTCAGATTTCGGTATATATTCGAACATATGTTAGCATACGTACACATGTATGTTTGAAGATAGTTTAAGTGACCAATAAAAATAAAACGGCACACCATAAAGTGAGGTTAAGTGCTTAAGATGTGAAGTATTTTTAGCGGCAATAGAACGGACGTGCTTCTAATTTATGATAGCAGGAAAATGAACTCGGGATATGAGATTTTTGGAATTGAGATAGAAATATTACTCAGTTTTTCTACAGTTAGTAAAAGCTACTAATTTTTAAGTAAACAAATCAGCAATCAACCTTTAAAGCAGACGTTGACGAAGGCTTGACAGACCCTAGTATTATGATTATTGAGCTTTAAAGCTCTGAGAGTATCGGCATTTACTCTAATGATCTAAATATAATAAAAAATCAAACCTTTATAAATCTTTAACACACGAGAGTACACTTGTATGGGCCGTTGCTGCTTTCTTTCGAAAAACTCTCTACAAATCACCTTGAAAATAACAGATACTAAGAGGTGCTGCTATATTGAAACATACCCCCGCTCTTCCTTTTACATGATTTTTTTAAATATGGCCAACAACTCAATTTAATTAAAGGTATTCCGAACCATTCAAAGAGTTTTCAGTGTCAGAAATAATAGGCTTTTCAATAGAGACGCTACAAAGGTAGGCTGATAGGGACATCAAATGATGTCATATTTTTTCTTTCTCTCTTTTGACACTTCTCTTCAGTAAAGCTTGCCATTTCGTCAAGGAAATATATAGGCGATCCTACAACGGTTGGTAGGTTGACAAGATTTCTCGAAATATTCTTTTTTTTTCCAAAATTTCAGAATTTCTGTGTTAATGATAAAAATTTTTTTGAAAAAATCCTGTTTTTTTTACCTATCTTTTGATGGTCATTGCAAATAAGAGCTCAATTAAGATTTTATCAACTTTTTTCTATGTAGCCTTTTGTTTAGGGGTTAAGTTAGTCTGTGCCATATAAATCGATTCGATTTTCATAATTCTGATTGCAAGAAATCGATTTTCTATCTTTCAAGCTTTACTTAATAAGTATTTGAGTGTATAAGTGTTTATATGCACATTTAGATACAAAATGATGGATACTGGGTAGATCTTCTACATCATATTTTTCAACTGGATTTTGACGAATTACGGTGATCTTCAACGCTCGTCTTATTTGAAACCAAATAAAAAACGAGGTTAATAAAAAATATGTTTAGAATCTTTATAGATTTCCAAGCATAAAGCCGCACAGATAAGTTCTAATCCATTTGCTGACGGTGAGCTTCAGTCTTTCGCACACTACTCTCGACAAGACTTTAAATGCGATCTTGGGGAGACGTTTCTCGTGGTAGTGGGAGCAGATTGTGGGGTCCCACTTTTAGTGTTTTGGACAGGGCACACTTGAATTCCAATCGTTGGACATGCTTTCGTCCAACCATATTCTACAAAGAAGCATGCTTCTTATCAGTTCTTAGCTGCCTTGCCACTCTGCAGTTTACCACGAGTGTAATTTTTATAATTTCTATTCGAGCCTCATCACAGTCGAGCAATGGAATATCTGTTCCATCGTCATCAATTAGGAAATTAGGTTCGCCATCTTCAGATGTTACACTTTCAGTGCTGTTCACCAGTTTGTGTGAGTGTTTCCTCCATAATTTTAGTATGCTCTGAATATCAGCCACTATATCTTGAAACCGTCTGTTAGTCGCCGCATCTTTTCGTAGAAATTTAAAAATGGCTCCCGTTGGCCAGCTTGGAAAGACTCACGTATTTCGTCCTCCTTTTTTTTTTTTTTTTTGTTGCATATGTGTCTCGTTCCTCTCTTCAACAGTTACCGACAGTTTCTATCCCACCCCGCTCGTGTTGTGATTGGTCGCATTATTGCGAAGTAAGCTATCTGTTTTCTCTTCAGTGTATCACGGCAGTCTCCATCGTACCATCTCTCTTACCAAAAGGGACTACTGTGATATGAGTAGGCAGTTGAAGAGTAAAGTCCACTCTCACTAAACAAAGACC